CAGGTCCCCCACTAGGGAGCAGGGTACTTGAGTGAGTTCCCATGTGCACCTGAGCCTCAGTTTCTACAGCTGCGCTTCACAGGATCACCGTGGGAATTAAGGGGGTAATGGATACAGAAGTGCTCTCTAAACACAAAAGGCTTTGCAAACATGGCCATTGTTACTGTACCCTTTAAAAGATGAGGAAAAAAAGGAAAAAGAAACAGTAGAATGTGATAATGTATCTGTTCCTTTCCGGTTCCCACAGCAAAAGGCACACGAGCTTGAACATAGGATACAAATGAGGCAGAAAATCAGATTGCACCAGTTATAAGGGGATTATTCCACTGAGGAACAAAAAGGGTGTGATTTTTCAATAAATCTTCACAGAACAGCGTAGCCCCATTTGCTGAGCCTGTGGCTGAGCCCCGTGGCAGGACAAGCATCAACAACTCTTCTCAAACTAGTCTGTACCAAGTTCCCCTGTTCAGCCTCCCTCAGCAACACGTGATCTTTCTTCCCCCTGCTGATGTCTTCCCAGCTGTGAGCCAGTGTACTCATTCTTCAATCCTGGCTTCCCATTTCAATGGCAAGTGTGATGACCACAGCTTAATTCTTTATCACCAGTGTGTTTTTTTCAGATTTACTTTTTTTTTTTTTTAAAAGTATGATGTTTATTTTTTAATTATTTCTATATTACATACTAGTTTTTTTTGTTTTTTTTTGTGCCACACCTTTTTTTTTTTTTTTTAACATCTTTATTGGGGTATAATTGCTTTACAATGGTGTGTTAGTTTCTGCTTTATAACAAAGTGAATCAGTCATACATAAACATATGTTCCCATATGTCTTCCCTGTTGCATCTCCCTCCCTCCCACCCTCCCCATCCCACCCCTCCAGGCTGTCACAAAGCACCGAGCCAATATCCCTGTGCCATGCGGCTGCTTCCCACTAGCTATCTACCTTACTGCGTTTGTTAGAGTGTATATGCCCATGACTCTCTCTCGCCCTGTCACAGCTCACCCTTCCCCCTCCCCATAACCTCAAGTCCGTTCTCTAAGAGGTCTGCGTCTTTATTCCTGCTTTACCCCTAGGTTCTTCATGACATTTTTTTCTTAAATTCCATATATATGTGTTAGCATACGGTATTTGTCTTTTTCTTTCTGACTTACTTCACTCTGTATGACAGACTCTAGGTCTATCCACCTCATTACAAATAGCTCAATTTCGTTTCTTTTTATGGCTGAGTAATATTCCATTGTATATATGTGCCACATCTTCTTTATCCATTCATCCGATGACGGGCACTTAGGTTGTAAGCAACCGACAAAGGATTAATCTCCAAAATTTACAAGCAACTCATGCAGCTCAATAACAAGAAAACAAACAACCCAATCCAAAAATGGGCAGAAGACCTAAATAGACATTTCTCCAAAGAAGATATACAGAGTGCCAACAAACACATGAAAGGATGCTCAACATCATTAATCATTAGAGAAATGCAAATCAAAAGTACAATGAGATATCATCTCACACCGGTCAGAATGGCCATCATCAAAAAATCTAGAAACAATAAATGCTGGAGAGGGTGTGGAGAAAAGGGAACACTCTTGCACTGCTGGTGGGAATGTGAATTGGTTCAGCCACTATGGAGAACAGTATGGAGGTTCCTTAAAAAACTACAAATAGAACTACCATATGACCCAGCAATCCCACTACTGGGCATATACCCTGAGAAAACCAAAATTCAGATTTACTTTTAAGAAGTGGGGTGGGGGGGAGAATCTTCTTACTAGATTCAGGGTTTTCATTTTTTGAGTATTTTCATTTTTTCTGCAATAGCCGTGTTTAGTTAACTATTTTTTAAAGCAGGGTCACTGAAATCATACATTTATCCAGTATTCATCAAAATGTAAGAAACTAAACACCTGGATTCACAGATCCTTCTTAAAGTATAGGGAGCATGTATTTCTGCTTTCTTCCAGAGGGAAAACTCTTTTTTTGTTTTTTAATGATGTTAAGCTTCTTAGGGAAAAAAAAAAGAAACTCAACAACATCTATGTTACTGGGGTGGAAAATTTATTCTATTCTATTACTAGACTTGTGTGAAGTTTGGCAAAATGTCACCTTGGGTTTCCCTATTAAGTGAATTCTGACCTCCACTTTGGACTTATATAGTGTTAAAACCATTCCTATGAAAGTGACAAACTGCATGTTTCCATTGAAAACCACCCAGTAGCCCCCAGGGAAGAAAGAATAACCTGTTCAGGTTCCCTTGAAATATTCATGAACTCAGCAGAGGATCAGATTAAAAACAGAGCCCCCAAGCAGAGGAGGTTTTGGTTTTTTCCCCAAGTTTTAAGCTTTATGATGGTCTTTTCACAACTTGGCCCACCTGCTCATAAAAATGCTCCTATGCCCCGCCAGGATTATAGTTTATCTTGCAAACTTTTACCTAATGGACAAAAACAAGATGTACAGTTAATTCTTCCCCTTGCAAGTGAAGTGTAGTTATCAGCAGACATATATGAGAAATCATGACAGTGGGTTAATATTGTGGTGTGTGCCTATTTTTTGAAAGTGACAGCTGGGCACACTGGAGATATAACATAGGAAACATAAACCCTTACCACATGAGTCAAAGAAAAATATGCTTAGGAACTATCTGTCGGGGGAAAGGGGACACACCACACATCTTAAAGTCAAGTGAAAATGGTGTTATTGTTTTGACTGGTCCACTGTACTGAACCTCCTGTGGCAAGGTTGAATAGAACATCATAAAAAAGCCCTTTCCAAAGCCATCCTCCATTTGACCACACCAGACATTAACACAAGGGAAGCTTAACCCTTCTGAAAACATTTTAAACCCGATCAAATTAAAAGCAGCACCAGAGAGATTATTTTTTCCTAGCAAGAACCCACAAGCAATTTACTTGACTAGAGGAAAAATGCAAAGAAATCCTTTATCACAAAATAGCTTCTTGAATCTTTCTACCAATAAACCTTCCATCCATCCATCCAAGAATGCCTATCCTCCCTGCTGATAACAAGCTGTGGAGATAAATATTTTATTTTTTTCTATAAAACCCCAAATGATGTTTTCAAATAAAATGAAACTACTACATGCCACTGTCAAAAATGGTCCTAGAAGAGGTAAATGTCATTTTAACGGCTGTGTGTTAAAATATTTAGTAGAAAGAATCTACTTGTCAAGTTCCTACAGAAAACTCCAAAGAGACTATAAGCACATCTATCAAATTTTCATCTACCTTGGGGCTGACCTACTGGGGAAACCATAGAAAGCCTGGCCTTGTGCTATGAGGGAGCTGGAGGTTTAGAGTTCTGGACAATAATGGGGTCACAATCAAGTACAAAGATGGGGCCTGATAGAGTTTCTGCAGTGATTCCCCAGTGAAGGCGTACTGGCAATAGGCAGCTGCATTCTGCTTTAAGCCACAATTTGAGCTAAGGAAATGAACCCATGTGATGGACCATCAAACTCCCTTGTGAGAATTCTGACCTCTCACTCCAAACCTAGCAAAGAAACACCCATCAAATATTAGCAAAAGAAAGACCAAGCCAGCAAAACGTGGGAAGGATTTTTTTTTTAAGCCTCATTTAAATAGCTTCCATACCCTACCCTTTGGGAATTATATTAGGTAACTTTTTTAAACAAGGAAAACTTGGTTTTAAGGAGCTTATGGGAACATTTAACTTGGAATGGAAAGGTTATTTGCTCAGTGTTAGGCTAAAAGCCAAAATCCACTTTTAGCCAGAGATGATTTTAATATTATACCTCACAAGAGTATTGTGTCATGTGAGCAGGCGGCAGAGATAAGCAATGTAGCAAAGTTATGACTTCCCCCAAAGACTCATTAAAATGTATTATTAAGTATAAAAAATTCGGAAAATCCAAGAGGAACCCGTCTGTACTATCTCAGAAACAGTAAAAATTCTTTCCAACTTATCACTTCTTTCACTCTGCCCCCTCTACATATACCACTCAGTAAATACTGGGAAGAACTCGATCCTGATGAAAAAGAGGATGAAGATGAAAAAGAGGATAAAAAATGCCCTAAAGAGCCACTATGATTCCCTGCATATGATTTTTCCTTTAAATGTGCTACAGAGGAATATATGATGAATTCCGGTGACTATGAAAAATAATAAACCTGTGAAGAGGCCATGATATTTTTTAAATTATTCAACCCACAAAACACTTTAAAGTATGTTAAATTAGAAACATTATTTTGAAGAAAAATAGTAACTTTTTCCCACTTTAATTTTTATAATCTGAAATTTTAATAACTCCAATATTTTTCTTTTTCTTCCTGTTTTGGTTGTTAACTCATGTCAAACTGTTTTCCCTTGGGCTTCCCTGGTGGCGCAGTGGTTGAGAGTCCGCCTGCTGATGCAGGGGACACGGGTTCATGCCCCGGTCTGGGAAGATCCCACATGCCGCGGAGCGGCTGGGCCCGTGAGCCATGGCCACTGAGCCTGCACGTCCGGAGCCTGTGCTCCGCAACGGAAGAGGCCACAACAGTGGGAGGCCCGTGTACCGCAAAAAACAAAAAACAAACAAACAAAAAAAACAAGTGTCATCTTAAACTGCAAGGATGTCCATTAAACATCACAATTAAACATGCCAAAGGAGAAGCCATGTTGTCAAAATGCCCACTTAACCCACCCAAACATCTCAAACCCACCCTTTGCTGACCTTCTATAACCCCATTTTTTAAAGTTTTTTTTTTAAAATTAATTAATTAATTTATTTATGGCTGTGTTGGGTCTTCGTTTCTGTGCTAGGGCTTTCTCTAGTGTGGCAAGCGGGGGCCACTCTTCATCGCGGTGCGCGGGCCTCTCTTGTTGTGGAGCACAGGCTCTGGATGCGCAGGCCCAGTGGCCATGGCTCACGGGCCCAGTTTCTCCGTGGCATGTGGGATCTTCCCAGACCAGGGCTCGAACCCGTGTCCCCTGCATTGGCAGGCAGATTCTCAACCACTGCACCACCAGGGAAGCCCTAAGGTTTTTTTTTCTTTTTTTAAACAAGAGAAAGTAGACAGATACATGTTGGTAAATGCTAACTGTCCATATTCACATAGAGACACAGTGTAATCTCTGAGCCCAATATACAGAGAAAGGAGGAAAAAAGCTAGAATTCTATGCACTACTACACAGGGGCCTAGTACCCTCCAGCTTCCAGCAGAGGTAAGGGAGCAGAAGGTTTTTCTTTTTTCCCCCAGAGTATGGTGGTGTTGATTCCATAAAGTTTTTGTTGAGACAGGAAGGGATAAAAATGAATTTGGAACAGAAAGTGGTAGAGATTCTTTTCCCACTGAATTCTGCTCAAGGTATTTCCCCCCAAAATAAGTTGTGAGCCACGGTATAAAGGAGAAAAGAGACCTCAGAAACAGGGCAACTGAGCACAAGAGGAGAAGGAGGAAAAAAAGAAAAAAAAGACTGCAACTTGCTCCCGGGGACTGGAGAAAATTAAAACAGGAAGGTTGGAATCCATCAGTGTTCCATTAGTCATCTTCTCCTCATCTTCCTCTCCTCCCTCCCCCTCATCATCATCTGCATCTTCTTCACCTTCATCCTCACCCCCTTCTTCATCAATATCTTCCAATCCTTCTTCCTCTTCTTCATCATCATCATCATCATCATCTTCTCCTTCCCCTTCCTCATCATCCATGTCCGGGACCAAGTAGTACTGTAATGGATTTGGCCAAATATCATCTTTGATGACCTCTCCTAACTCATCTGCACCTGCATCAGAATGATCGGTAAACCAGGTGAAGAAGCTTTCTGGGTCCTCATGCTGTCTCTTCCTGCTGGCTTTATTCTGCGTTTGACTTGAATGTTTTGTCAAATCCTTTCCGGATTTCCATTTGATTTCAGTGGACTTTGAAGATGGATCACCACTCTCATTCAGATGAAATTCTTTGGAGAGAACTTTATTTTCGAAGTAAGGGTTTTCATCAAAATAATAATCTATCCTGTAACCTGATTTAATATCTTCAAATTCTGTCACTTCGACTCTTGTCAAATAATGCAGCGCCTCTTTGTCCTCCTCCCCAAGCAGTGCAGACACTTGTGGATGGTTAGCAAACGTTGCTCCCCCAAAATTTGGGATTTGGGCGATCAATTCCGACCTCTTTTAAAAAATTGGTTGGCGGAGTTTGTTATATTTCTGTTCTACTTTCAGAATCTCCTCACTGGCTTGTTCGTTAAGTCTGTCTATTTCATTTTGTACTTCATCAATATGTTCAACTGCTTCCTGCTGTTCTTTCTGGAGGGGAGGCGGCGGCAGCGGGCACGCTGGCGGCTCTGCTCCCTCACTCAGGCTCCGCGCTCCAGCTCGCGGCTGATCTCCCCAGCCGCTTCCTCCTCCCACCTCCTCCTCACGGCGAGGGCGGGCGGCCGACAAAGATTTTTCTAAAGTAGCTTGTATAAATACAGATAATGTCACACACTGCTAGTGATATAGTTCCAGTGTCATTTTAATTATATTTTTCCTTAAAAAATAATTCACATTAATAAGCGGATAGGATTGGAGGAGCTCTGTTGCAGCAATGTTTCTCAGTTCTTTTGAACTTTCTCAACTACCATCCATCGCTATCTATCAGCTGACTTCCTTTGGGTAGTCCTTCAATTTTGCCAAAAGGAACGAAAAGGAGCCACCTGAGTTGCAAATAAGTACTTGCTACCCAGTCATTACATTCATTCCCTTTTTCAACTTCACTAAGACCAGCGTTTTGCATCATTCCTCTGTTTTACGTGCCAGAAGTCTTCCGACACAAGCAGGGCACCACAGTAAGATCAGAGACAGACACGAGCCAAGTAGGAGATGGGCTGTGAGGGGGAGGAGGACAGGAGACTGTGTAGACCTGTAGACAGCCGGTGTGTTCTTGAGCAGATCGACTTCAGGGAAAAGTGTGGATTATCCTTGTACATGCTCTTAGGAAGGATATGCGGGAACGTGGGCATCGGTTCAAAAGTGCCTGCCAGTTGATCCTGTAGTTCATGATCCCAGGGGTCTTCTGGTAGCAGCTACAGTTATCAAAAGTGAAGAGCACTCTGACAGCACCTCGGTCAGGAGCAAGGGCTGAAGAGGGCAGTGCCCAGTGCAACGTTTACTTCCCAAGGGCAGAGTGGCAGCTGGCTCAGGGAGGGACTGGAGCTGAGAAGCAGGGTGGGCATCCTTCTCAGAGCAGCCTATTCCAAAGTGTATTCTCCCAACTTTCCCATCTCCCCCAGCCTCACTTTTCTATAAAGTTTCCACTGAGACACACAGCACAGACTGTGGCTAAAATTGTTCCCATCTGTGACAGAGGCATATTTACTCAACAGAATAATAACTATTCTGATGCTGGTGTTGCAGCAATCAATGTAGGTCAGAGGACACACAACGAAAACTCTTGTGTGGCCTAACTCAGAAATTCACAATTAGGCCAGTGGAGTTTTAAGATACAGAAATATCTACCGATTTTTAAAACTTTTCTGCTTGCTCTTGGGTTCAAATGTACTAAATGTGAATAACTTTTTTAAATGAAAAGTAATAAAAGAAAAAGAGGAGAAAACGAAGTTCCTCCACTGCGTGCTCCATTCACTTTAGGAGGGGTTAATGTATAAGCCCAGCGGGGAGCACCATTTTCTATAAATGCTAAAATTATCTCACCATGCAGCCTGAGAAGAAAAACGCTACAGAAAAAAAATTTTTAAGCCCACACTCCTAGGAGCAGAGGAGGAAGCGGGAGCATAAGCGTGACTCCTGCCTTTCTGCCTCTAGCAGGGGCTAGAGGCACCTGCCAACCAAGGACCCAAAGCTGCTGGAGGGTCAGCCGTCAGGACTCTGCATTTTACAACATAAAAGTCAGGTTAAGCATCAGACCAGAAAGAGCCTACCCTCCCCGCTTTCTGGTTGTTCCCCATAGTTCACCCTATACAACTAGACTTGATTAGAAACAACTTTCAGCACAGCCTCACTGGCTCTTTTGGAACCAGGAAAAGGTGAGAAAAATCCCAGAATAAGAATTTTAGAACTGAAAGGACCGTTTACCTTAGAAATAAGGAAACTGAGGCCTGAAGCAGATGAGCTTGCCCACAATCACACACCCAGGGCTGAGACGCCCCCAAAGGCATCCCTCTCTCCTCTGCCACGTGGCTCAGAGCTGTCCTCCACTGCTCCTGCCCCACTGGTTCCTTTCTCTTCTCTGACGCACCTCGTTTCTTCCAGCCTCAAGGACCTTGAATATACCACTCCCTTAACTTGCATAACTTCCCCCCACCATCCCTACCTTCATCTTGGCTGCACCTCTCTCACGTTTTAGTTCTTAAATGCCATTCCTTCAGGGTCATCCACTCTTGACGCTCCAAATTAGGTTAGTCTCCCTGATGGACATTGTCATGGGACAATTCCTTTTCATAAACAGTCATTTTTAAATATATCTCTCTTCCTAGACCTAAGAGCTCCAAGAACATTGGAACCAATATGTTCTGGTTCATCCTTATAAGCCCTTACATATAAGCCCTTATAAGTAACGGCTCAGGACCTGGAAGAAGGTAAACACTCATTAAATATTTATAAATAAATTTAATAAATATTTACTACATGTTGGATACTGCTTTGAGGGTAATACATATACTATTCATTATTTACTTAATTTATTCCTCTAAACTCCATGAGATAGGCAATAGTAATATTTCTATTTTATAGATGTAGAAACAGAGGCACAGAGCAGTTCAGGAACTTCACCAAGATCACACAGCTCATAAGTGGAAGAGTCGTGGCCCTGGGTAACATTTATGGTAGTTGCTTCATAAAGGGTCAATGGAGACCTGCATGAGAACTTAGTGCTTGGAAAGATTTTTAAAGAACAAGCTATGAGCATAGTGGGCCCTGATATCGGACACTAGATGAGCATTTTCCAAAAGAATATGTTAACAGACTTTATATTAGTCATCTTTCATGCTCCAGCAGCAACAATCTCCAGAGCCTCATGAAATGTTTGTTTCTTGCTCATGTTGAATGCTGGCTGTGACTCTGCTGCAGGTCTTTAATCTGGGCCCCGGGCTGGGGCAGCGCCCCTATCTAAACCACGCCATTTTCACAGACGGGAACGGAGAGATGGTGACACCACGCAGAGGCTCCTAGAGCTTCAGCCAGCAGCAGCACAGGTCATTACCACTTACATTAAATTAAAAGCCCCAGGCTCCTTATTTTCTTCCCCTAAGTTCCCCAGGGCATGAGAAGCAACCAACCACCTCCATTCAACTCCTTATCTTCACTAAAATGTTCTATGGCAGCACATACTTGGTCCCTCAGAGTCTTGTCTCCTCTAGGCACTTGATGGCAGGGATCTAAAGGTGATAATCTGAGTAACTCTCCGCCCCTGCACACCATGCGCTACCAGTTGAATCCTTTCTACAATTCTTCGTAGCTTTTTAGTCTTTTCTTCATATAATGCTTTTACTCTTTCAATCCTCTCCTAAACAAAAATCCTCTTAAGGATCTGGACCCAAATTCTCATAGAGGTACGGTGGAGAGAACTCCCTATCTTTCTTTTGAGAGAAGGGATGATGTAGAAGGAACACAAACTGTCCCACAGTTTTACTGTTTAAATGCTACCGCCCTGTCTCACAAAGAACGTTAACTTCCATTTGCCTCAGGCACTTTACATGCAGTAACTCATGATTCGTTATGTCTCTGGATGTTAGGTATGATTATCTCATTTTACAGGTAGCAAATATTAGACACCTGGAGAATAAATTCCCTGCCTAAGGTTTCGTAGCCAACAGCAGAACCAGGACAAGATCCCTCCTGATGTTCTGCCCTTTGCATAGAAAGGCTCATCTAGGCTTTCTGATGATCTTGAGCTAAAGTTAAGACAGAGCCAGAGTAAACATCAACTCCTCTCTCCCCTGACATACGCAAATGCATACATCCACACATACTAAATATATATATATGTATATGTATATATATATTTTTTTTGCGGTACGCAGGCCTCTTGCTGTTGTGGCCTCTTCCGTTGCAGAGCACAGGCTCCGGACGCGCGGGCTCAGCGGCCATGGCTCATAGGCCCAGCCGCTCCGTGGCATGTGGGATCTTCCCGGACCGGGGCACGAACCTGTGTCCCCTGCATCGGCAGGCGGACTCTCAACCACTGCGCCACCAGGGAAGCCCACTAAATATATTTTATATGTGTGTGTTTTATATAAAATACACACATACAAACATATGTACAAAATACCAACTCGGAACGGGGGGAAATGTTCCTGAACTGTCGAGTACATACTGACTGCTGAACTGAGAGAACTCTACTTATTTGATAAATTATTAAATACTGTGCAGCACTTCTTCAGGAAAACAGACAATAGGGAACTTCAGTCAGGTCTCATCCCTGCTTGAGATGGAACCCTAACAATGGCTAGGAATATAAATATTAAATAAGGAAGGAACACTTAATGGTTGGTGCTCTATTTTATCATTTCTCCTAACTCTGACACTTTCCTTTTATTGCACACAACATGATCACTCATTCTGTTGAATAGAATGAATGTTCCTATTGTCAGCTCTCTGTTTTGCTACTGCAAATCCTTGGCAAAATTGCCCATTTCATTTTTTATCCCCTGTAGATCTTCCTGCCCTCAAGGAAGCAGCTTTAAAGCAGTGTGAGTTCCAGAGCCAAGCGTGACAACCCAGCAGTCTCAAGATGAAGTGTCAAGTCAGCAGACAAGGCTGCCTGCAGTAGCGGGGCTGACTTTTTCAGGAAAAGGACTGCCCGAAGCCCTATGGAGGCCCACTCGGTCCCACAGGCAGGAAGCAGTCAGAGCTCTGTCTCTGCGAATGGCTACACAACAAGTACTATCCTTTCCATCATCACCCTCAGAGAGGACTCAAGTGCAAGGCTCTGGAAGACTCAGTGTGGGTGTGCGGAGTCGCTCTAAATGGGATGCCTCCAGTGTCTATCTTGATCACGGTGTCAGTGACAATGCCTGACTGGGTTCTCCTCCTGACTCCTCCTGAATCTCACCTGCTAGGGAGGCTGAAATGAAACTCAGGTGAGCACACACCAGTCCTAATGGAATGTTGGTCTGAGTCCCTCCCTTTGTGCCATTTTAGTGGGCAAGGTTGGAGGGAAACCTTATAAATGGTCCATTCATTCATCGTTTAAACGTTTTCTGGGTATAGACTCTGGCCCCACATGAGGCTCTGATGATACAAAGCTGAAGATCACGGTGGTGTCTGCCCTGGAGGAATCACAGAGTCTCCAGAAGGAGGTCTCAGGAGTGTAACTGTGATGACTCCATCCCCAGAGCCACCTTGATGCCATTCACAGGGCAGCAGGCCAGGCCAAGTGGAAGGCACCCAACGTTTAAACATCGTCCCCCAAATACCTCCCACAAAGCCCCTTTAGCCAGCAATTAGCTCTCTGGGTTCCTGCTCTCACGCAGTTTCTAAAGAAGTGTGAGAAACAGGGGATGTTCACCCTGTTCCCTTGAGTTTCTGAGGTAACACATGCCATTCCTTACTAGCCCCTGGCCTACCTTCCACTGTTTGCCCCTCTGAACTCCTCTCCAGTGTTTTAGATACTTGTTTTGCAGATGCTGGAAACACAGAGGATACCTTCCATCAACTCGAAGAGGTCTGTCTTCATACTTCCTCATGCAGAGCAGTTATTCTACTTCCCAGATTTCCCCCTAACCCCTTCAGGCTGTGGACCCATGGGGTGTTCAGTGTTTTTCAACAGCAATGCCAGGTGTGACTCTGGCATTTATGACTGCCAGCATTTTCAGAGTGGATGGATGCCAGAGACACACTCCTGGAGCACTTTTAGTCAACGGGGTAGTGCCTCCTGTGAGATGTGATGAGTGCCTCTGATCCTTTACAGCTGATCCACCAGGAGGACAAATGCTCAGGCTGCACTCTGCTGTTCCTTGCTTGCAGTGACTTTGACATGCTGTATGGGGCACAAGTAGGAATGTTTCCCTGAAGTTATTTAAAACCCTACAGGTGCCAAGCTTGCCAAATCATAAATTTAGGAAATTGCATTCTGTTAGACTAAGTCCTTCCCTTAGCACTTTAGTCACCTAGTTATCCTTCAATTTCTTTCCTACAAACACTTGGCCCAGGTCCCGAGGTTCATCCCATACCTATGTGTCTCCTCAGTACATAAAAGAGATTCAGGAAAGGAGAGGGAACAATAAAATTTCAGGTTTACTGGCACAGTAAGTGAAGTAATCCCCCTATGCATACACTTTTCTTACAGGAAGCTCACTTACTCAACCTTTCCATTCACCTGCCTGATGAGATCTATACAAATATTTTAAGAGGGTAATTTGGAAGACTTGCAAGAGTACAAGTTGTTCAAGCTGCAGCATTAGTCTCTGTTGTTTGCTTTAGGTTTAGCTCATTTACACAAGTGAATAACTAACTGTCTGTTGCTTAATCAGATCAATCAAGACTCATTTAAACTACTTGCTAACAGTCCTCTTCTATATACCAGCAGTCTTCAATTGTTTTTGCTTACAATTCCCCCAAAAGAGTTTTGGAAAACTGTACCTTTCCTTGCATATGTTAAAGTTAACCCTTATAAATTTTATTTTTTAATTTTAAGATTGGAAAAAAAAAAGTAAAGGAAACCCTTTTCCAGCATAGAATTCCAGGATATAATTATATGCGTGCTTTAAGTATATTTGTCAAACTTTGGGACTGCAAATGAAGCCAAATTTATGTGAAATGTCAGCCATATATATAACCTGACAGACAAAGGTGGTCCTTGTTATCAAACCAATCTGCCAAAACAGATTTAGTTTCTATCAGAAAAAGACTGAATTCATTTTTTAAAATAAAATAAATGTATTAATATGCATCCCCATATCAAGCACCTCATTTCTGAATTCTAATTCTAAGAGGCAATCTTGAGTGTATTAGGGTAAAATATAGGTCCAACGATATAATGACTTAAACGTAACAGGAATTTGTTTCTGGCTCACATAACAGTATTGGGCTGGAAAACAGTTCACTGGGCTAACATTCCTCCACAGTCATTTAGGGACAAAAGCGCTGCCATCTCAACGTTTGGGTTCCGGGGTCTCTCTCTGGGTCAACTCCTTTCCAGAAAACAGTAAGGAGGAGGACAGATGGGGGTATTTAGAAGCCAAGCCTGGGAGTCACCCATCATTTTCCTCCCATACCTTTGGCTGAGCTCCTTCCTGCAAGGGAGGCTGTGACGTGGACTAGCTGTGGCCCAAGGAAGAGAAGACCATGGATTTCAGTGAGCAGCTAGTAGATAACGTCACAACCTTTGCAATAAATTTATGACCTAAGCGAAATAATGTGCTATTCTCTTCAGTATTTATTACCTAATCTGTCTTTGCTTTGGTCTCTGAACACTTGCCCTCAGAATCGGCCCCTTTGTTCACCTATCTGAGAGTAATTCATTTATTCTGTAAAGCAAAAGCGGTGGTGAGAAAGGAGAACCAGAAGCTCCTTCCAAGGTTCTCTCTCCTTCACACCAATATGAGGAAACAGGATGTACAAAAGTCCAGGATCTGGAAGTTCATCCTCAAAGAACTATCACTGCATTGTACCTCTGAGACAGTGCTCACATAACCCTAGGGTACATGGACCCCAGTCTGAGAATCACTGATGTATAAAGTATTAGAAAACACAGAGGATCACAGAATTCTAAAGTGCAAAGTACTCGCGCATTTTACAGAGGTGAAAAGTGAGCTAGAGGGAAGATGTCCAAAGTCACTCTTAAAGAGGTTAATGCACATATTCTTTGCTCCAGCAAACTTATTTTTGCCTTTGGTATAAATGGATATTCTAGCTTTCTACTGCATGTTGTGCAGAAAGGAACTAACATAACAGGCCTGTGACTGCTATCCTTTGAGAGTCCTGCTGACAAGGTTGGCCCCTGGAAGGTGTCTGGGAACTTGAATTTCGGGAGAATTCCCTCCATCTCCTGAAAAGAATGGCTCACGGTGCCTAGACTGCACAGTACAAACAATATGGTTTATGCTGAACAATTGCTTCCCTTCTGGGATTCTGGAATTGTGATACGTGCTAGGCAGAGGGTGCCTATGTGATCAGTTTCGAGTAAAAACTCTGGGCACCGACTCTCTAACGAGCCTCTCTGGTTGGCAACATTCTACATGTATTGTCATAACTCATTCCAGGGGGAATTAAGGAGCACTGTGTGCCTCCCTGGGTGAGAACTCTGGAAGCTTGCAGCTGGTTTCCTCCAGTCTCCGCCCCATGTGCCTTTTTTTCCCTTTGCTGAGTTTACTTGGTGTAATTACAGCTGTGAGAACAACTGTATGCTGAGTGCTGTGAGTTCTCGTGAATCACCGAACCTGGGAGTGGTTTGGGGACCGCCAACACACATAGAAATTAGGTTTGACAGAAAAGAATACATTGACCTCAGGATACTAAGAACATAGTAAGTAATAAAAGAAATTTCAGTACATTTTAAATTTATTTTTTGCATATGGAACCTCTAGAAAAGGGTGAAGGCAATTTATATTCGACTTACTTAAGCTACATACTTTTAAAATGACAGATGAAAATAATTTAAAATACAGATATTGGTCTTAGTTAGCAAGCAAAACAAGGATTCCCTGAAAATTACTACCAAAGACATCAGAAGAGAACCTTCCATATTGAACCATTAAGGAGAAAATGAATATGGAATTCTGAACATTACTAAGAAAAAAATGTGTCCAGAAGTGAAAGAGAGAGACAGAGACAGAGAGAGAGAGAGAGAGAGAGAGAGAGGGAGGGAGGGAGGGAGGGAGGGGGGACTCAGGGTGTCTGTGTTGAAGACAAAGGGAGGAAACCAATGAACACTCTCTCTGCCGTAAGCTGGTCCCATACCCCTCCTACTGGGGTCACTAGACAAAATCCATATAAAAGACCAAGGTGTTCAAATAACATTTTCCCTAATTTTATATTGTACTTTTTTTCCTTTGATTTTTTACAAGCAATACAAAGCTTCTTGCAGACAAGCTCCAAAGTACACAATAGTATGTATAAAATTATTTTTAATCACCCAATATCCTGCCATCCACAGGCAAGCACAATATGGCATTCAAGTCATTTCCCTGTTCATTAAAAAAAATAATAATTGGGAAACATTCTGTATGCATAATTTCTCTTAAATTTCCTCCTCATCAAAGCATGGTTATGAAAAAATTATTAGTGACATGGATTAAACAGGCCTGTTGAAGACCTTTTTTCTTCCTTTAACTCTACTAAACATACTCAGATGTCCCTGAGCCCAAGTATCTACTTAGAACCTGAGAAACCCAAGGTGAGAACGTGCCTACGTGCTGCCATGGCTCAGGATGACATTCGACCAAGATACAGAAATGAACACTGAGTACAGATGCTTTTCTCCCTAGAGTGACTGGTCTGGCTGAAAATGTGGACCACACACTGTGTTGCCTTGATGAGCTGACTTCTCATACAGCTGGGGTCCAGGGCACAGTGATGAGAGACTCAGGAGTCGTGATGCCGTTTAAAGGTGTTCCTGTGAGTCACAGAGCATCGTTTTCTCCATTTGGTACTTTTGCACCACATCACATTCCAGAAGCAGTACAGGCAGCACAGTGGTTGGGATTAAGCTGAGTGGCTGAACACACTCAAATAACCAAACTCCTCTTAGCCTCGGTTTTATCAAATATAAAATGGAAACAATGATATCAACCTCAAAGAGTTATTGTAGGATCACCTAGATAATGCCTGGCACAGAGCAGCCAAAATGAAAAAGAATATTCAACACAAGAACATTGGTATATCTTGCTAACACTAAAATACAGTAAGCTACCCTGTTTCATGTTTACTATTTTTTAGCGCACGCACAGGGGGTGGGGGTGAGGACAGCTTTTAATTACCTCCAAAGCAATGCAAATCAAACCACAAAGACTAATCCAAGAGCTGAGCTATGCAACCAACATGTTGAATTCACCAGATTGTAGGTGTTCCACTCTGAATGCTAACAACCTGTCTTCCTACAGCATGTGTGACAATATGAGCCTCAACAACAGGTCCATTCTCAATGTCTGTCACCTCAGTTTCCACATCTGTTTTCAAAAACATATATCACCCAGACAGAACTTTGATGAATGAGTGATAGTTGCACCAAAACTCAAAATGTTCAGCTGCTTTGATGTGCTGCCAGAAGGCAGGGGTCAGGCTGAGAGATACAAAGTGGATTCCCCAGGAAACAAGCCTCTGGCCTGTGCTGTGCGGCAGGATTAACTGCTCGACTTCTGAAAGTCCCATTAAAATGCCTCCATGCTACGAGAGCTGACCCCAGGATGTACCAAAACCATTAACTCAATGCACCTTGGAAAGATTTTGATTCCAATCACAAT